CAAAGGTAAGTTTAGAACTAGCATCACGAACGGATCTGTTTGAAAGGTTCTTCAACTGTCTCCAAATAAGCTGCTGCTGCTGCCTGTTATGAATCAGTAGGGATGTCCCGATCACCTTTTTTTGCTCCCGATCCGATTCCGATCATTTGATTTTGACAATTTGCCGATACCGATTTTTACCGATCCGATCTTTATGCAATGCATTAAGAGAAAAAAAAGCATTCAAGTTGTCCCTTAAGGTTATTTTTTTATTTAAATTGGATATTCTATCCAACATGGATATAGCTTCTTTCTTTCACAGCAGCATTGGATTAGTTCAGTTGTGCAGCATTGGATCAAAACAAAATAAAGCTTTCAGTACTCGTTAGCTTACTGCTACTATTAGACACTGCGCCCTGCCCACTCTGTTGCCAGATTTGAGAGAAATAAGCAACCAGCTCTATGAAAACAAGCCCCAAAGAAGCAAATACATGATGTTTGTAATTTGAAACCAAAACGAAGGCCTCAGGATGACTTTAAGCCTTGAACATGGTCATTTTTGTTTTGTAACATTGAATAGAAAAAAAAAAAAAAAGTATTTATAAAAAATAAATTAAAAAAATCCCGATCCCCGATTTTTTTTCTCCCGATTCCGATCTTTTGAAAATCACGTGATCGGCTCCGATCCCCGATCACGTGATCGGATCGGGACATCTCTAGTTTCAGGCCTCCAGACGAATGTTAGTTCTACTTGATAGAGCTTCTTTACCCAATATTCAATTGCAGTTTGCTTATTCAATGGTATTTTCGTCACTCTAGAAATGTCTTCTGTTTTAGAGTTGCTAAACGTCAAATGCTGCCTGAGGTTTTATCTGCTGCGACCAGTTGTCTAAAACCATTGTCTTTTTTTTATTGGATCACTAAAGAGAAGTTGAGTTGAGTCATTATGGCCAGACATTTTTCAGACAGCATCTGATTGTCCGCAGCATGAAAACATATAGAAACAAATACAGTTTTCATGCAGTTGCACCACTTTAGGCAGTGTGATACAACTGTTGCACAAATAGAGCTGCTGTGTAGAACTGCTTGCGGGCGTACCACCTCTTCTTGAATACCATCACTGAAAGTGTGACTAAGGTGCACATATTCATGTTTTTCTCTCAACAGCAATGGTGTTCGACCCACATGGCAGCCGGAGCAGATTGAAAGCTTTTCAACTTATCTGCCTGAAAAGCAGATGCCGAAAGGATAACAGCAGGTTCAACTTTGAGGCTGCTGAATGCTGACAGCAGTTCTAGACACATTTTTCGCATTTTACTGAAAAAAAACTGAAATGGATTGAGATCAAGTTTCCTGTGCGTAGTTTTTCGGTAGTAATTGCCCTTATATTGGTGCATTTTAGACTTTGTGCTAATGTGATTGGTATAATGACACCTAATACAGACGGTAATATCACCTCAATTCCAATGGACACACAAGCATCAAGAGGGTCAGCATTTTTATTCTCCTAAATGTTCATTAACTACATAATTTGAGCACCTCCCACTGTGTTTTTGTATGATATGTTATGTAAGTGCTTAGGTCAAAGAACTACAAGTTGCTTAGTCCCATCTGTGATCACAGTGGTCCATACATTACTCAATGATTCAGTAACACGGTGTATGCAATCCTTAGACTTACGACTGTAATATATGGCACATACAGTAAGATCTTAATGAGCAGCATGATCTGTGGAAGAATTTGATTTATTAGACATTGTTTTAATGACAACATATCGTTGTATCCTCTTTCTCCACACTGATGTATTGGCCTGAACTTAAAAGTTATTTTGTTAATGGATGGAACCTCGTACAAATGTTCCTTTTCTTTTGATAGTTTTCTAATAAATAAATCTAAATATTGGCTTTTATGAAATGCACAGGTAGTATAACATTCTAAGCTCACACGGCCAATTGTGTTCTTGTGTTCAGTAAACATGCCAACAAGCTTACTAACTTTTGTGCTAACCTGGCTACCAAAGGTGGTCATGTGACCGTTGCCTTTCAGGTTTTCCTAATCCCTAAAAAATAGATCTCATTACAGTGAACTGGTTCCGAGGTTCAACATTGACCTTGAGTTCTAACTGCCGTTGATTATTACCGACATCATTACCTGCAGATAGGAATAGTAATATAAGTGACCTTGTCGGATTGATGTTGCTCTGTTCCCAGTTCTCAGCATTACCATTTCATTCTTATTACCAATGTATAGAAAAGAAGACCAAAGTTGTAATTGAATAGCTTTTTTGTTAGAAAACTAATTTCAAAACGGTCAATAAAGTGCTTGCATTGAAAAATTGGGATCAAAACAACTTTTAATACCCATTTCTTAATTGGTATCATGAACAGAAAAACATCAAAAAGTCTATCAGGCTCTTAAACCCACACAAACGTCTCTGCGAAATCCTCTAGTGCAGCCTTAAATCTGATTATTTGTGTGAGTCATCAGCTGCAGGTATGGCTCGTTTGACAGATCCTAAACCTGGCATGATGAAGAAGCAAAAGATCAAGCAATACCTCCAAACGAGCATTCTCCTTTTCTTTAGATCTCCACAGACTCTGCCTGCAAATGGGACATTATGCACGCTTAAGTGGGATTGATTTGGTACGAACATTAATAGCAAATTGCAGCATTCGAACTGAAGGCACGTTATCGTCCGCCATCATCACAGCCTATTCAGAAAATATATCAGACTTCTTCACTGATAATTTGCCATCGGCTTTTGTATTTTATTCTTTAGAAAAGCGAGTTCAGCGCGGCGCTCCAGCTATACGGTTTATTTAAGAAGGTCAGGAGCATTTTTAAAACCATATGACCTCAAAGTACAAGCCCGCCATATTTGAGGCACAGAAACATGTGGTGAAAAGCAACAGGAAGATAGTGGAAGGTGTGCAGTTTATCGGAGAGCTGCAGCGCTCCTCAGATGTTTTCCTGCCTGTGAGGCTGCTCAGATTCTCTTGGCTGTGATGGCGAGTGTGATGTGGGAGCACATTCATCACACTTTGTCTCTGATAGCTTTCATTTGCATGGGCCCATCTCCAGCCATGTTGGTGGAGGTTGGTGTGACAGTAAGCTCAATTCTGTCCTGAAGCCGCACACATATACAAACATTTGTGCAATGCCAAACAGGGAGGCTTTTCTCTTATACACAGCTGAGAAAAAACCCTTTATTGCTTATTCTCAACATTTATTCATGGTAAATGTTTCCATATCATGCCTATGACAGAACACCTGATTTTAATAAAAGAAATATTCATTGATTAAAAGCAATATTTTCTTACCAATCAGAATCAGAAACAGGTTTATTACCAGTTTACACGTACGAGGAATTTGACTTGATGTCATGGTGCATACATAAAAGTAAAACAAGAATTAAAAACGCAGAGAACTAGAAAGATATTAAAAATAATACAAAATATAGTAACAATGTTTGCACTGTAGAATAATGATGCCCCAGGGGCTAAATTAAAGATGGGGGAGATAGAAGATAAATAAAACCAGGTATGGTTTGTAATATATAATGTATAATATATAATTTAATCTGTCATTTAAAATATCAATATATACTGTCATTGTTTTATTGGAATTCCAAATAATATTTTAAACCAGTTTTACCCTCATGCAGTTTTCTATTCTTAGGTTGTAAAAAACTGTTCCATTAAAGTGGGGAAATTAATTAAATTGTTATTTTCAAAGAAATGCTTAACATCACTTAAAAATATTACGCACCTTAGACAGAAGCAAACCGTCTTATATTTATGATTCTGTCTTAAAAATATGATAGTTTCCTCTGTTTTGGACCCCATGTCTCTCCGTCCCCTCAAAAGCCAACACTGTAATTTTTCTTTCAACATAACGCGTCAATATTCATCACATTTGAACTCTATGCTGAATATTCCCACTGATTAACTTCCCCTCCTCAAGCACGACCTCTGATTGCTGCAATTCCATTTGAATTATTTGATTTTGTCACACAATCTCTTAAAAGCATTAGTGCTCCTATAGTGGAGGAAACTCTGCAGGGTTCAGGTAACCTTTGTCTCGCCCTGTTGGAGTCAGATTCACCACCTGAAACTATGAAATTATTTTTCTATGGAAAGTCCTCACATACAGCTTTAATCTTGGGCTTTTTGTGCCAAAACATTAGCATTTACAAGACGTGTTCTCCCTTTTGGATTATTGAAAAGCAGCTTAAAAATTGTATTCAAACCATTTGTTCAATCTCGTCACAGCTCTCATTACACACATACACAAACACATACACAAACACAAACAACGCACGTTCACACAGACGGAGAAAGTGAAGCGATGTAAGTGGTAAATGATTAGAGAATTGTTGGCTCCTTGTTTATCATTATAATAGAAATGCAAAAGCAAAGATTCCAGGGGAAAGTTTAATCAAGAAGCTCATCTCAGAATTCAACTTGTAAACACTTCAATCCGTCTCTCCTCACAAAGAGCAGAGATAGATTAATGAAAGCAAACAAAGGCACAGAGAAACAAGATAAAGGAACATGGACTTATCACTATGCACCGTGTAGAACCAATAACATGTCTATGAAGTGTTTTGAGCAAAACACTTCATAGACATGTTTTTTATATATTTTTATATATCTGAGACCTATGCTATTGCCTAAAGATAGCATGATAGGTAACCTTTAACTCTATTTCATTCAAAAAAAGAGAGAAGTAAGAAATAATACGATCCTCAGCTGGTAATTAATAATATAAAAATGATTAATTATATTTACAGTACAGTGTGACACATTAAAACTAAAAACTCCCACTATGTTACAAGTAAAAATAACAGTGTATGAAATGATGGCTCATTTTCTCAAAATTAAAATAGAGCCATGTTTAAAATACTAGTGAATTTTAGTCCCACTATAATATGATGTAATATAATAAAAAGGTTTAAGAACAATATTGGCTCCTGCAAAGGTCCACATATTATGCTCACTCTGTATAAACTACTGCCTCGTTGCGTTTTTCAAAGAAAAATCCCTTCAAAGTTTGAGAAGTTTTTTTGTATTCAGTTTGGCCAAACAAAGGCTTATAAGTCACTCTTTTTTCAACCTTAAAGTCAAGTTTATTTTTAATATCTGTATTTATTTATTATTAAAAAAATAACACATTTTTCTATCCCCTCCAAAAACCTAAGTTAAGCCTTACACTGTGAAGTAAGACATTGTTTTGGAGGTAAAGATATCAGGTTTCCTTTGGACTATAATGAAAATATCACATATATATTGTATATTCAGAATATATTCACTTCAGATCTTTCCTAGCTTTTCCCTCAGTTTTCCCAGATTCAGTCCAACTTATTGAGATTCTTTAGAAAGTTTGAGATTGTGATTGGAATTTAAAATGAAGTAGTATGGGCTCCAACAATGCTTGGCCATGCAGCATGCATCGATATTGATGTAGTCAGCAGTAGGTCTGATGGAGTTGAAGAGTTTAAGTCAGGCACAACAAATCGAGCCGTCTCCAGCAAACCTAACAAGCCTCTGAAAGAAGTTTTATTGTGCACACAAAGTCCCTGTCACTGTTAGCAGGAGAGGTGAAGATGATAGGTGCCCCAACACCTCTTCCAAATCAGGGATCTCTAAAGAAATACAAATAACATATGTGAGACTTTACAACACTGGTGTTTGACTAATTAGGGATTTCAGGGCTTTTAGATTCTTTAAGGATTACATCCTAGAATAAACAGTACATGTCCTCAACATTTTATTATCTTGTTTGCACAAAACAGTTGAGCTAACTATGACCAAGGCAGAACATTAGATGGTTTTGCATTCAAGGGTTACGTCTTGGACATTTAAGACAGTTTTATAATGAGCAATTGTTAATTTAGACTAAACCATAAACTGGTGTTTTTTGCTTGAAGTTTTTCTCACTAATTGCTGGCTTAGGGAGGTCAGCTGGGTAGCACAGGTCACCTTTTGAGAAAGCAATAAACTCATTAAAAAAAGTGTTTGTAGATGGATGCTGCATGTGGATGCTGTCTTTAAGAAAATGTTTATTGTATAGATTAAAAAAAAGACAGCTGAAATTAAAAGATTGAGTTAGAAAGCTTTAAACCTTCCAGGGGGGCGTCTTGCCGTCATTTGACGCTCTCATTCAGTTCGGAACGCCCTGAACTCGAGCCGTGGGCGTCCAAAAAAATTAATAATTTGAGAGAAGATCGAGAGTTTTTATAGCTTGAAATTATGAATGACGAAAAGGAAAAAGGACAAGGACGTCCCTCTGGTGGAGGGGCAAAGGAGTCTGGTGGGATTCTTTTCGCCGCCTGCAAAGCGCGTTCACTGCCACATCTTCCAAGGACCATGCCAGGAGGGGTGTCCCTGGAGACGTAAAGAGATAGTATAAGGGATGGTGCAACTCAAAATTGTGTGTGTGTGCATACGTAAAGGGAGGCGTGTGGCGCAGTGGATTGTTCGTAGGTGTTCGGATCAGGGGTTCACAGGTTCAAACCCCACTGCAGTCAGCATGTCGTTGCTCCTGTGGGGATTGTTCACAGTATTGAGTATGTAAGTTGCTTTGGATAAAAGCGTCTAACATGTAATGTAATGTAAAGAGATATTATCTATAAGGGACGGCTCAATTCAAGTCACGTGACACGACGTGATGTCCAAAGTCACTGATTGGTTTGCGGAGCCTAGAGGCCTGAGTTTGTTATTCTAGCATCTTGTTTCTTTTTGGTAGTGACTTGTCAATCACAAGATAGCCGTGCCCTACTGCATAGCCTGTTTAGTGTATTTTACTTTATGGGAATCTACAATTGACAAACTAAATATCATGGTGTATTGAAGAAGGCTTAAAACTAGAGATTGCGACCATAAACTAATAGGGACATTTGAACAGAGGTATATAAATCTTATTTTTTTTTCAATGCAATGCGATCTACCCACACTACCCTTGCGATCGACCGTATTGGGCACCCCTGCGTTATAGTAATAAAGCTCATGATCACACCAACATTTGAAGATCGACTTCCCAGCCTAGGTAATGGGCAGAGATGGGGTCGTTACTAAAAAAAACTAACATATTATATATTACATATTACTTTAAAAAACTGTAGACTGCCAAGGCACACNGGCTCCAGCAGGAAAAGCTGGAGGCCGGAAAAGAGTGAGACAGGTAGCGCGCAAAAGTAAAAGTGGAACCGAGAGTGGTACGAGAGACAGAACGAGAGCAAGACAGACAGACATTACGAGAGCGAGACAGTTTGTCCCCGTACCACTGGTTGAAAACCACTGCTGTAGATCACTGCCGGTACGTGCACTGGGAGCGCACCGTTTAAGTTTGAAAGTTGAAAAGTTTGTGTGTCTGAAACGCTATGTGACACAGTACAGTTTACACAGCACAGCACATGTTCTGTAGCTACTATTGCACTAAATGGTAACACTTGAATACGTTATGCAAATATGCAACTTGTTTGTTGAAATGTTAATAAATGGGAGCTTCCTCAAACAGCCATCTCTTTCCCGACAATCCCCTCTGTGCACGAACCCTTACATATGGTAATTAAACATTAAAACACCTGCGGCTTATGATATGTACACATCATTCAATTTAGCTGCTGCGGCTTATATTCAGGTGCGCCTTATAGTCCGAAAATTACGGTATAAAGAATATCCTCCTCAGTACGGTCAAATGCAATGGCTATCTTTTTACTACAAATTGAGATGAGAACACCATTCCTACTCATATTTCTGCTATTTTAAGTTTTGACGATGGAGAGTCTCAACATATTAGTCTCTCATAACAGTTGGGTTGAGATCTAGTGAATGTAAGGGCTACGGTATAGGACATTATTGGGATTGTGTTAATGCATATAATCACCGTCATGTGTACATTTCACAACTCAAACACTCAGGTTTACTTCTTAAATCTGTCCAACAATCCTACTTTCTTGTTTTGGATGACGGTTTCTGATTGTGTCCATTTAACCGTAAATTAATAATAACATATTTTGCTGTGTAAGATCATCACCTTCATATCAGGTGATTTCTTTCCCCCCCTTCATCTCAAAGTGTTTTGTTTTTCCAGATGGAGCTGTTAGCTCGTTTCCCGCCGTCTGAGGTAGAAAACCTTTCAGTGTGGAGACATGTCCTCCTCAGAGCTCTTTCCCAAGATGCTCGTCACCGTGTAGAGACCGACATCGTCAGCCTCGCTCAAAACGCTCTGACTGACTGGCAGAATGGAGGCTACAAACTAGGACAAGTGGACCGAATGGTGAAGAGAACCCTAGATACGGCTCTGATTGTTTTAAACATCCCTTAGCATGAATTAGAAGTAGCCTAATATCTGCTTTGCCTTCAAATGTAGAGGCAGTAGTTGTGCTAAAACGCAACAAGTTATTCAAAAAATGTAAAGGTGGGGTAGGTAATTCACTTCAGAAACACTCTTTGTTATATTCCATGGAATGCTCTTAACATCCCGATAGCAATGAATACATTAAATGCTTTGACAATAAATACATAAAAAAAATTCATCAGTGGAAGCCGTGGTACTGTAAAAAGCACGACCAATCATCTGAGCCGGCCCGGCTAAAATAACTGGATGGCCTACCTGCCTGTCAGCCTTCCATCTGGGCACAAACTTATCTCGTGCCCTCATTGGTCATGTGAGCGTCCGTGTGTGTTGGAGGAGGGGCTCTGTGAGGAAGTCTGAAGGAAGGGGAAGATATTTTCCAGCTGTGTATTTTCAAATTCTAGCGAGCTGGTTTCTCCACTTACCTTCCCTACCTGAGAGAGAGATAATGGTTAATGGTCCATATATTTTTTTAAGTGAAATCCAGTGACTGATATGTAGTGCGTAAAAAGAGGCAGCACAAACATCGAGGGCGAGAAATGAAACATCTCAGTGCTTATTAAAGCGTGAAACAACGTCTTCTCACTTGAAGGAAAGGCCACCTTCTCGCCAGTTGAACGTTACATGGACGTTTTAATAAGGTTTTAAGTCTTGACAGCATAATATAAACGTATTGCACTGAATGATAACTTGTTTGTTTGTTTTGTGATTAATTTTGGATTGTTATAAGCTGTTAGACTCAGATGTAGGATTAAGCCTTCAGTGTCTACTCAGGCAAACAAAGTTCATCATGTAAAGTTGTCTGATTCTTTTTTGGCCAGAATGATTACATCCAGCTGTGGAAAACAATGCTAGGAAGCAGGGTGGGGATAGTTAAACGGGAAAATCTGCACAAATGTTGGAATTGACCGTCCCTCCTGTGTGCAGAACACGGTGCTGCGGCCCCTCCTGGCGGTGGTCCGGGTGCAGACCTCTCCTGAGGACCAGTGTGTGCTGTCAGCTCTGAGGGTCCTCACACAGCTGTGGTTACGAATGAGTCCAGAGCAGGTGAGATCCTAAGAGTGTAGTGGGTAACCAGGAATTTCACAATCAGGCTTTTTGTTGCCCCCCAATCCAAGTAATTGAATATTGAGTATCTGAAGATGCCAAGTCCTAATCTGATCCTTCTATCTTCCAAGAGCACACAGCTCACAGTGCAAACAAGGACATTTATTAAAAGGGCTAACCCTAACAACAAATAACAAGCTGTTCCTTAAGGTATTTTCTTTTTAAGTCATAAATAAAGGATCAGATCAGATTAACATAGCGATACTGATCAGTTAAAGAATGCTTTGATGTCGTACGATGCCGATCTTTGAGATTACATCCAGACATTCTTACCGTTACCCCTGCCCCCTGCCCTGCTCCAGGTGCAGAGCCAGCCCGCGCTCCACTGCACGCTGCAGCTGCTGCTCTCCATGTCAGCCGTTCTAGTGAAAAACATCGAACCTCAAGTCATCTGCCAGGTATGACGTTCGCTTCAGAGTTCACATTTATTAGATCAGGACTGGAGGGAGCTTCTGTTGACTGTGTGTGTGTGTGTGTGTGTGTGTGTGTGTGTGTGTGTGTGTGTGTGTGTGTGTGTGTCCAGGCTCTGCTGTGTGTGGACGCTGTGGTGTCTCAGCGGTGTGCCGATCAGCTGACGCTCGCTGCTCTGGAGTTCCTCTCCTCTCTGGGGAATGTCTTCGTCCCCTCAGACAGCCAGGTGATCACACCCCTCTGCTGCACAGTGTCTCACCTTCTGGGTCTTTGCACCCCTCACCAGATGTTGTCAGACATTTATTCTCCCGCTGTTTCTCCTTCGAAGTTGCTCCCAACATTTAGGCCAAATATAAATACAAATTAGTTTTGAAGAAGATTGTAAAAATGTGGATGACCTATTGTGAATGAACAATATGCTAATCATGTTCTGTATTTAGTTCCTTTTCTCTCTCTTATATTCATGAAGTTACTCATATTTCAGCGTTGCCACGTATGCAGTTTAAAACTTCACTTTGGCTCATTTTAAATTTAAGATGTGTACTTTTGAGACATTTTACATTCAAAAAGTCATGAAAATAGTATTTTTAAAAATGTAAATAAAGTCAAGACATTCTCATAGTATGCCACTGAACATTTAAAAACGTTCTCCATTCTGTCTGTAATAAAAAACATTTACATTTAAAAAAAAAAAAAGTAATTGTCAAAAATCAGCAATAATTAGTCAAAACTGTGGATATGAAATGAGAACATTTTAATATATTCCTATCTTTTCTCTTTTAAACCCACTTCGTGTCCCACAGAGTCAGATCCTGCCGAGGCTGAGCGGCCTGTTTGGAGCCATGTTGTCCGACAGGTCGTGGCCGCTGCACCAGCACGCTCTGGAGGCCTTCTCTCACTTTGCGGAGGTACGGCAGGGACGTAACAGCTGTTTCAGAAGTTATCCTGTGCTGCCCCTTGACTGTGTTGTAAACGTGTCATATTGCTCTTTAAGATTACAAACCATGAAGAGGTCATTTCCCAGAGTCTGTGTGTTGAAGAAACCAAGTCGAAGGTGGTGAAATATCTGAGCAAGGTAAGGAGATTCTATTTTCATCAGATTCACTTCAACAGATCGACATTAACGAGTCAATGTGTCGTTTGCAGACTGTGAACGCTCGGGAACATGTGGAGTCACGGCTGCAGAGGATCAAACTGGAGAAGGCCGTGATTGAGAAACACAACGAGAGGCTGGAGAGCGACAGAGAAAACGCTTCAGACAGACTCACTGCTGAAACACTGGCTGCTGAAGCTGGAGCAGACTCAGAGGTGAGCGCTGTCACAAAGTTTAACTTCATTCAATGGTTTCCTGAATTCCTCACCATGCAGCGTTGCTTCAGCTTTAGACTCTCCGGGTCACTCTGAATGGCAGCTGGTCAGTACAACACTACCTCCTAGTGGACAAGTTAACACATGTTCACTAGGAGGTAGTAGTATAATATGAACCAGGCTTATTTTATTTTTATTTGATAGTTTCCAGGAAACACTTAAAGAGGCATAGGAGAAAGATATGCGAGTTAAGTGTTTGGTTTCCAGTCGGTTTGAAAATTGTAATCACCTTTTAGTTGAAGCCCCATTTATATATATTTACAATGAATGTATCAATCTGTAGGATATTTAACTTATTACGATTATTTAGACTTACATTGCAATTGTGATATGCTTTAAGACACATTTAATCCACATTTTTTATTAGGTTTGTAGGATGATACACTACTACAACAATCCTAATGCTTGATATACCGTAATTTTCGGACTATAAGCCGCGCCTTTTTTCCCATTTTTCGACCCTGCGGTTTATATAACGGTGCGGCTAATCTATGGATTTTTAAAGCTA